ATTAATCTTGTTTCCATAGCATTACTGATACTGGCAAAGGCATATATACTTAGGTGTTGTGTGTGAGATATGACTTTATGTATGTATATGCGTGTGTGTGTGTGTGTGTGTGTGTGTGTGTGTGTGTATGTATGTATGTGTGCTAAAAATCTCATTTATAAATGATAATTGTAGGGTAGCATAGTAAGAAAATTGTTGAATTAAGTATTAGGAAAACAGTATTCTGGCCTCAACTCTGCTACTAGTTTTAGTATTATATACACAGTATGTGTAAGACTTATTTTAAAGTTATATTGCTATAATCCTGATCCATAATAAACAAATGCTGCTATCATTAATAACTTTGTGCATCTTTCATGAACTATTGTTGAAGATATTACTCATCATATAGGTCTGTATTCTTACATTAAAAAACATTAGCTAGACAAGTGTGATGGTGTCCACCTGTGATAGCTGCATCTGGGAAGCTTCCCAGGCCAGCCTGGGCTATGTTGTAAGATTTTGCCCCAAACACAAACCAAAAGAAACAAACAAACCCCGAATAAAACAACACAAATAAATAAAAAAAGAAGAAAAACTTAGATATATATCTTTAGTTTTTCATAGATAATCTTAACCAAATTGGAATTAATACTACATAATGAGTAATAGAAGGCAAATTCCTAATTTCTTTTGACCAACATCACTTCAGTAAAAATGCAAAGAGATGGGTAGATTTCTGTAGTATATAAGTAGAGCATTGGTAAATAAGTTTGAATTTCATGTTTCTATCTCTCCCTCTTTTAGGTCTAATAGAGTATAACCTAAATAGATTTATTTAGAGATTATTATAGAACACTTGTTTTGTACTAATCTACATTGCTTAAACTATAAAATTAGATAATGAAACTTTTGGGCTGGTAAGATGTCTCAGTGTGTAAATGTGCTTACTGCACAAGCCTAATAATCTGAGTTCAATCCCTGGAACCATGTAAAGGTAGAAGGACAGAATGGACTGAAAAGTTGTCCTCTGACCTCTACATGAGTGTCACAGCTTCTCTAGGTTGTCTCTTCAAACTCTTCCATCTTTCTCGCACAAACCATTTTCAAAAGCCTAAGAACCACATGGTCAGATTTAGCACAGCAACAGCCCTACTACTTAGTACTAATTTTCTGTATTAGTTACTTTCCTTGTTACTGTAACAAAATACCTTTCAAAATCAATGTAAGGAAGGGAGGCTTTATTTTGGCTCAGAGCTTGAAGGTTTGGTCTCTCATGGGAAGGTGCCTGGCCACATTGTATCTGCAGTAATGAAAGAGGGAGGGAGGGAGGGAGGGAGAGAGGGAGGGGAGGGAGGGAGGGAGAAAGGGAGGGAGGAATGAGGGATGGAGGGGGAGAGAGACAGAGAGCTAGAGGAAGGAAGGGAGGGGAAGAGGGAGAGAGAGGGAGGGGGAGGGGGAGAGAGAGAGGGAGGAAAAGAGGAAAAGAGGGGGAGACAGGGAGGGGAAGAGGGAGGTAGGGGGAGATGGAGAGAGAGAGAGAGAGAGAGAGAGAGAGAGAGAGAGACTAGCTTTCAATTTGCTTTCTCCTTTTTATTCATTTGTGGATGTTGTTACCCACATTCAGGGTGGGCCTTCCTACTTTAGTTAAACTTCTCTGGAATTGCCTTCACTGTAACATCATCATGTTTTTCTCCTAAGATATTTAGAGTTCTAATAAGTTGACATTCAAGATGAACCATCACAATACCATAGCTGTTATGGTCTGAATGTGTCTCCCTCAAATTCATATGTTGAAACTTAATCATTAGTGTCTTTGTACTAAGAGGAGGGTCCTTGAAGAGATAATGAAGTCCTGAGTAGGATAAAAGGTACTTAAGAAACATTCTTTTTTTTTTT